AGGGGAAAAAAAAAAAAAAAAAAAAAAAAGAGCAGCAGGGTTACTAACCTGAAGAACTATGAATCCCCCATGGAGGCGGCCGTGGGCGGCCGCAGCGGGGGCCACGACCCCGCGGCCATAGGAGACAGGTAGGCGTTGGGAAAGCTTGATTTGAACACACAGCCTGGGCAAGTATGGTTGTATATCAAGTTGTTTTCTGTTTTGGTCTTGCGGAGTTTTGGCCCCGGAACCTGGTACGGACCTCGGTAGGCTCGGGCTAGAATAGGCTTTTCTAGACCTGCAGAACCTAGACGGCTGCGAGGACAGACCTGGTAGGTCCCAGGCAGGATGCAGCTCATTGGAAGTGACGTGTGGGTTAGTGTTTGGTATTCAGAATTTGTTCCTCAAGTTTTGCTGTTTGGTGCAACTGAAACTGTGGAAAAATTTTAGCGCTGGAAGTAGGAGGTTGAGCGCCGGCTTAGCCAGCGATATCTTATGGTTCACTGGATGGCTTTTCGATCCGTTTGTGTTGCGTATCGCTCAGGATAGCAAGGCGCCTAAGGGCTAAAACTATATTCGTTTCTCGCGGTTTCATCGACTATTTTGGTGTGAGTGTGCAAATCCAATCTTGTGTGAAAATCCAATCAAGTGTGATTTCGCCGTCAAGCAAGTATGGAAAGTGTGATGATGAATGAAAAATTGATTGGTATTTCGGAAACTCTCCTAACACAGGCCAACGACTGAGAGGATAGAGAATGCCACAGACAGAGACACACAGTACTCACATGTAATGGAAGTGGAGGCACAACTGCTTTACACCTGCGTTTGTCTGCGAATTCTGTTCTTTGGGTCGCAGTCACTTGGAGCTCTGAACACTCTTGTTAATAAAGGCCAGAAGCTGCTAGGGTACAATACTGACTGGAACGCTGCGACCTCGGCAGTAGAGGAGGGTTTGATTGAGCGAGAAAAACTCCGAAAAGGTAATTTGGACAAGCTTTCGAAACTCGATTCATTTCAGTCGACTTGGGACGAGCATCGGTTTAGTTGGAGCTTCTTGATCATCGGGGTCATTTTAAAAGCAGGGTGGAACGTAACAGGAAAGAGAAGACGTCCATTAAAAAATTTGAACGATACAGAGAAGGAAGACTAGCATGGCCCCTGCACAAGGACGACTCGCATGAGTCGAGAAATGGTCCAAATTTTCTTCTTTTTTAAAAAAGAAAAAAGAAAAAAGAAAAAAGAAAAAGCTTCAAAAAAGAAAAAAGAAAAAAAGGGGATATAAAAAAAAAGACGAAACCCGACACACTGCCTTTACTCTCAAGGGTCCCAACCCCTCGCCTCGTATCCATTGCCAACTGACTTGATTTGACCCCTGTTTCTGTTTCTCGACGAGTCGCTCCTTGAATTTTGTTTTTTAGTGTGGCCTCAGTTGTCCTGATAAAGTTTGTTTATCACAAATTCTCTTGTGCGCTTGGTGTGACGAAACGTGGGGGTCAGCGGATCCGCACGCTTGGTCACACCAAGCGCACAAGAGAATTTGTGATGAACAAACTTTATGGCTGTACGGACCCATGAATGAGTCGTGCCAACGAGTCGTTCCAGCCATAAAGGAGGGACTCATTGGTGCACTGGGTATGAAAAGCTCATACGCGGAGAGCCTGGAGGAGCTGATAAGAAACCCGAGAAAAGTCGTCCCAAAAGCTCAACGATACTTTATGGCTGTGCCGAACCATCACAAAACTAAAGGAGCGACTCATTGGTGTGTTTGGTATGAAAACGGATCCTCTATTTCCGGTTCGGTACAGCCATAATCAAGGTGCTTTGTGTTCGGGGTAAGCAAACCAGTTGAACTACTGTCTTCCCCTGAACACAATGCACCCTGATTATGGATGTACCGAACCGGAAATATAGCTTGTATACATTCATTTTCAGGGTGCGTTATGTTGGCGGGAAGACAGGAGTGGCGGCTACCCTACTGGTTCTGCTCACCTGCATCCAGTTGGATTGACTGTGCTGAGTAGGCAGACTGCTGTCCCGACTCCCGAATAAGTGCCTGGGCGCTGAAACCCTTGGAAGGTGTGCCCGCCCGCCTGAGCATTCCTAGTGTGGGGGAGGTTGACATACACAGAAATGCACACACACACATGGGAAAAAAGAAGAAGAGAAAGAAAGAATGAAGAAAGAAGTTGGGCAAAACTTTGCTGTTCACTTCAAATTCAAGTTGTGCTTACTGCATTCACCAGTGGAAAGTCACTGCCTTCGGAAGGTTTAAAACCCCCTTCGCTGTACCATTATTGCTATTGTGCCGCGTGGCTGCATGGCGACACTCACCATTTTTGGTTAGGGGCCTCTGGCCCCTGTCCTTGAGGACTTGACAGCAGCCATGATATAAGGCTTGCCAAGGGAGGATCATTGTCTTTACCATATTTACCACGTAAAAGACCTTTCAAAGTCCATTCCTCAGTTTGACTTCTCTTGCCTTGTCTGCTTTCTTGTCGTCGTTGGTGTTATTATAGTTCAGTAGTAGCGGTGGTGGTCTTCGGCATTGCTTGTTGCTTTTGTTGTTATTGGCAGGTGTGTTGGAGCCGCTGCCTCTACCATAGCCTTGGCGTTCAACCACCCGAGCCCCCTGCTATATTATGTCCAAGCAAATTATCACCATTGTCACCATCGCCATCACCATCACCATCGTCATCGTCATCGTCATCGTCATCGTCATCGTCATTGTCATCAGCGTTGTGGTCTTCCTCACAATCGTTGTCATTGTCATTGCCGTCATCGTCATCATTTTCATAGTTGTAATCGTTGTCGTCATGCCGGAGTAATCAATGATGGTCAGGGTTCCTTCGGCCAGACGGAAGGAAGCGTGAGTGTGTTTCATGATGTAATATTTTATTCTGACTTGCCGGCAGAATAGGAACCAGACTGATGCTGTCCAGAATGGAAATGGAGCCAGTGCCATAAGGACCTGTTTTGTTTAAAAAAGGAAAAAAAGAAAGAAAAGGGGAGATTCGCACCCGGCCATAGTGTTCAGAATAGAGCAGGATCAGCAGGGGGAACAGCTGGCTATGACAGCATGGAAGGTCGGAACAGGGAATGAAGGACTGGGAGCGCCCCTGTTGGGCTCAGGGAAAGGTGGCAGCCCACAAAGGAGGAAGCTTGGACGGAGTATGCTGGAAACGGTGGTGGTCTGCAAGGGTGGCAAAGGTGGAAAGGATAAATTTATTAGCACACAGAAAAACCAGGTATTGGACCCCCAGGAGTGGACCTGGCCAGTCCAAAATATGCAAAAGAGAATGACCCCACTCCTAAACTAGCTACCACCAAAAACATCTACAACTGTCTGATGCACATTGTGAATGTTTGCCGGGAACTGAGGGAAAACCGGGCAAAAAGGGACTGGCTTCCGAGCGCACATATGGAGAGGTGGATGCAGTGGAGATGTAAAGAGCAGTGTGCTGTACTGATTGCCCGTCCGGACCATAAGCAGGTGGGCCTGCTATGGCAGATTTACCATCTCGCTGTGCCAACAGCGCAGTGGAAGGCGCCCAAGAGTCAACACAAGAACCAGATGTGTGCAGCAAGGTGCAGACAGGTGGAAACGGTCCTGCACATTTTCGTAAGATGCCCTTTGGTCCAGGCCTTTTGGGCCCGGTGGGCGCAGGAGCTGGCTGGAAATTCACCGCTCGAGGTCCACAGAGGCGGATGATGCAGCAGTCCTTCTAGGCGCAATGATGAAGATGGACAGATCGAAGCAGCAGAACTGTTGGCAGCAGATATAACGGGAGCAGCTGTCCTCTGGGCCATATGGACCCTGAGAAACGAGTGCATCAGGCAAGGAGCAGCCCCATCACCGCGCAAGATTCAGGAACGAGCCTTGGAAAATATCCGGGTAGCCCTGTTAGCAGATTTCTGTTGTTGCCGGCATAACAGGGAGACGGTTGATAGCCGTTTTTGGAGGAGGGGATGGTACCTGAACCTGGTGATTAGGAATTCTTGTAGAAACCAGATTTCGTTTGGTCCCTTGCTGCAGCATTATGTGCCGGCAGAGCAACCCGATGTATGAATAACTAGAGACAAGAGTAGGATAGATCCATGCACAGTACGAAAGGAGGGGGAAGGGGGGGTAAGATAGGTTATCATAGGTAGAATCAGGGGGTAATAGGAAATATAGGGTAGGTAGCTTTGGGTAATGGAGAAGGTGGATAAAATGCTGGGGGCTTGTTTGGTGTTTAGTCAGTGCTTCAAGGAGTAAGAGTCCAGATGTGAAAAGATTCAAAAGAAGGGATTGAGATGGATAAGGCAGATGGGATGAACACAAAACACGGAGCGACAAACGGTCTAGGATGGAACAGGAGGAATAGGGGGACTGTGGGAGCTAGGGACATTGAAGTACTAGGGGAAAGGAAACTATCAAAGGGTATGTAAACTTGGAATAGGTGCAGCCTTTGGGGCCGCTAGGGTTGCCCGCCCTCGGGCGGAACACTTCTTGGTGTCTTCCTGCTGAGCATCTGAGTACTGCCCTCCCGGCCAGCAGGAAGGCCCTTAAAGAAGAGCTGAGCCAGGCTTGGGGGCGAGGCGACCCTTAGCAGCTCCACCCTTGAGATGGTGGCTAGTGCCGCAAGGTTCAGGTGTATCTTTTTCTCTCGGCTCGTTTCAAAATTCATGTGTATCTGTGTCTTGCTTGCTGGCGATAAGCAACCGGACTGGCGCCCCCCAGAATAGATGGGGCACATGTGTTGTTCCAAAAACAAAGGACTACAAAGCTGGTCAGAGTGGTACAACGCTTGTCAAGTGCTGGTCAACTCATGGTCAACAGATGCTTGATGACTGGTCAATGGTTACTCAACAGTTGGTCAACAAATGGTCAATCGATGGTGAACAGAGGGTCAACTGCAAGTTAAGTGCAAGTCAACGGATGGTGAACAGAGGGTCAACTGCAAGTTAAGTGCAAGTCAACGGATGGTGNAACAGAGGGTCAACTGCAAGTTAAGTGCAAGTCAACGGATGGTGAACAGAGGGTCAACTGCAAGTTAAGTGCAAGTCAACGGATGGTGAACAGAGTGTCAACTGCAAGTTAAGTGCAGGTCAAGGGATGGTGAACAGAGGGTCAAGTTGGTCAACTGCAGGTCAAGTGCAGGTCAACGAAAGCTGACCAGAGGGTCAGCTGCAGGTCGAGTGCAGGTCAACGGATGTCATCGGCTGGTCGCTTTCGCCTTCATCACACCAGCATTCCTCTGCACTAACACTGGCAAGACTCACATCCCAGCTCATGTATAGGCTGTATAGCCTGTAACATCAAGCGCCCGAGCGCAAAAATGGGCTGTGACTTCAAGTGCCATGGCTAGGAAGTCGTTCACCATAACCAGTAGCCTCCTAGCTCCTCCTCCTGCTCTCCACCTCAAGATCTACCGTGTTCACCCGAATAGAGCGTCCAGGCATTACCGAGGCATCTGGACTGAAAGGTACCCCAAATACAGCTATTATGACCGGGCATTCTATTCGGGTGATGACGTTAGTGGTGGCCGCACTGGACGGTGACATGGAATTAGTTATGGCGGTGTTCCCTCAGCACTGCCGTGTGCTATATACCCGGCCTCCCAAGGAGGCTATGGGCCTCACCAAGGCCTACCACTGCTGCATTCTTATTTCGGCAGGAAAATGCCTGCAAGCACCCCTCCAGTCTGGATGTATACATTGTATAGTACCCAATTGTTGTTCGGATACATCTGGTACCGCACATGGTATGCACCAAGGGGGGCATGCCTACTGGTTTGGTTTAGTCCTTTGCTGGACTGAATGGAAAACTCTTAGAGGCCCCTGTTCACCTTACGAGAATATCCCTGCCCGGTGCAAGTTACGATGCTCTTGGAGCGGAACTTACCTTTTACCTCAGCTGGACTGAATTTGGGTCTTGCCCCTCAAGGTCCTAATTTTGCCAGGCTCAGCCCTTGCCCAGACATGGGAACAATAAACTGAGTATCGGACTTCTCACGACCCCAAAACTTAATGGAAACGCAGACATGGACACACACGTGCAAACTTCAGGAGCACTATGAGGCCTCGGAGCGTATGCAGAATATACCGCAAAGCTCCGCATGCTGAAACACATCGGGTCATTGCAATAACAAAACAAAGGAGGAAAGAAAAGAGGATCATTTGTGCTTGTGCTACGGAGGGCAGGGTAATGATTCTTATTAAGCATATATAACATATGTGAAAGTGCTGATGGGCATGTTGCTGCAGGGATCGAGATTGACGGGAGCCGAGTATTGGAAGGAAGGCTGGTTGTGGTGTTAGGAGCAGGAGGAGCAGGCAAAGGATTGGTGTATGGGGCCAAGACCCGCGGGGCACATGTCGTCATTGCCAACCGAAGTCATGGTACATTCAACTCAGGCCCTCTCCCTTCTTCCTTTTTCCTAAGCAATTATTTCTCTGCGCTCCGGCGTTCGAACTTCGAACTCACTCTCGAACAACACAGAAGAGGTGTGGGTGTGCATTATCAAACTAACAGCCAGATTTGTTAACCTATATGTTCTGTTGCTGATCTCAGCATAACTGTCTCAGGCTGACTGCGCTGACACCATGTACGTTCTGTCAGCAGAGTTCCAGAATGTTTGTGATTCATTTGTCGCTGGCAGTGCGTTCAAGTGAAGGGCCAAAATGGAGAACCTATCGGAAAGTACTAACGGACGTTTGCATTGTGTGTGATGATGTTGCTTATAAGAATCTATTAATGTGAACTTGTGCATGTAATGAATCTGTCGTCTTTACCCGAATAGAATGCCGGGTCATTATTGCTGTATTTTGCCCATGCATCAGTCTATATAAAACGGGCGTTCTATTTGGGTGAAGACGGTAGTAATGTGTAGTCACTGATTGGCCAAGCACAGAGGTCAGTATGAAACGAGTCTCATGGTTGCAGCTTTTGGAAAGGTCAGAGTTCTCAGATCGAAAGTCGTTTCTACAGATCCCTCTAGAGACGTTCAGAAGTCCTTAGTTTCGGTGGGCCTGGTGTCAAAGGTCAACAGTCCAGGGCCTTCAGAGGAAAATGCAGGCCCTAGGAAAGTCAACAGTCAGGCCCAACCCAGACACAGAAGTCCAAGAGTTGAAGATTTTCCATGAGCCAACCGTGGCCAGTGATCAAACACAATCTAAAGGCTCATTGCAGGTTCCAGATGTTTCCAAGATCCACTGGGTCCAGGCACACAGTGGCAGCAAGCAAATCTTGGCCGTACAGGTCGAGGAATCTGACCCGTACAAGGAGGCAGTCGAGGCACGCTTGACCGACTCAACACTACATGAATGCGGCCTGCCCCACATTGTGTCGAGGCTGGAACACTGGACCATACCACGAGCGAGAGTGCGGTTTGACGGACGGTCACATCGTGTGCACACACACACACACACACACACACAGACACACACATACACACACACACACACACACACGCACACACACACACACACACACACACACAAAAGTGTAGTAGTGTATATTTCCTCAATGTAGCGGAAGATTCATTCCATTTTGGTAATCCCATCGCGTGAGGCCAGCCACGGGGTTCGGGACTTACCTGTCGGCCAAAGCGTTGTCCATCCATGTGATGGTAATCTCTCTCTCTCTCTCTCTCTCTCTCTCTCTCTCTCTCTCTCTCTCTCTCTCTCTCTCTCTCTCTCTCTCTC